CATGTCAACTTACACACCTTAACCCTAACAGTCTACTTATAATCTAATAAGAATTAGTTGGCATGTAGATGCAATGTAATTTCCTGGACCATCAAAATAAAGTGTGACCAAAAAAATTGCACCGCACTAAACATTTTATTATTTCATAATCAAATATATAAAATTAGTCCTGGGGCAAATCAGAAAAGTAATAAGTCAAAGGCCACACATATTTTGAGTAAATGTTTTGAATTTGATGGCAATATCATGCAAAATAAATTTCTGCAATTATTGTTCTGAGGCAATGTTTTGTGATTTTCTCCTTTTTCTGATGACAACACGTACTGTATACTGAAGGTTTCTGACAACTATTTTTGTCTTTTCACAAACCAATTCTTTTTTAATTGTAAAATAATAGACAGAAACATATAGTATGAGTGATTTATTTGAGCACAAGAAGTACATTGTGTGAAATGACACCAGTGCATATGCAAAAAAAAAAACATCTTACAAGAGTTATTATTGTTTTGCGCACTCACTCACTGGCAGAAAGTGCTTGCCTTGAACATCTACATACATATATTAGAATACAACTACTTTCATCATTGGCAACAGTGAAAAAATATTTCTTGAGCACCTGGTCAGTAGCTCATATTAAAATAATTTCTGAAGAATTGTGTGAGCAGTTTTCTTTATTCACAAAAATAAATTACTATGCAAAATTACTGTGTGGCAGTTTTATATGTCGAAGTGGAACTTTATTAGTACCGACTTAAAAAATTTACTAAAATGTATTATTATTGTTAACTTCTCACAATTATATACTTATTTTCCAGTGTAAGGTGGAAACAGTCTTTAACTTTTCACACTTTGAAATGTTTTTAATTCTCTAAATTGGATAAATTCAGTAGACATTGAGACTAATACATGCTTGATTGTTAAATTCATGTTTATAAACTTAATTAATTACTAATTAAGTAACTAAAATAACAAATAAATAAAGTAATAAAATAGATTTTTAAATAATGAAATAAAAAAAATGGTTACATTTTGAACATTATGGTCAAATTAGAGTGAAACTAGCTAAATATTGACAAAATATTCACAAAATGTCTATTATGTTTTTGTAATATTTGAAGAATTTAAGAATGACAACACTGGAAGGGTCAAAACGTTTTTCAAAATTATCTTAAGACAAAAAAAGGGTTGTTATTTAATAGTTTTAGGCCAACTTTGATGAAATGTTTATTACTGTTTCTGTATATATGAATACATATGGAAAAATCCTTCACTCAACTGTACAGTCCAAAAAAATCTGTGCCTCCATCACAAACATTATTACACTGTAAAAACGGACACAAGGGCCATCAAATCCAACTCAAGTGTTCCTGTCCATTCCACTTAACAATCCTGCATTCTCTGACAGCCCTCATCTAAATGCAAATGACATCCCGGTGCGTCCTTCTTCTCCATAAAGCTCCAGATGAAGCTTTAGAGATGAGCAGGTGCACTTTAGGAGCGACTCTATGGGCATTGCTGACGAGCGCACAATTTTGCATTGGAAAAGAAACGCAGGAATGGCCGAGATACTCGCTCATTTATTTGCCTGGTCATTGTAATGTTTCCAAGACTCTGCGAACTTCATTATCTGCAGCAATTACCGCTGCCAGGATTGTTCAATGGAGAGTTCTTTCTGCTGTCGGGCATTGAACACGTTTGTTATGTCAAGTGCGATATCAAAAACATTCAAGCTTCATGCTTCTGGGCTTGAAATGTGCCACAGAATGGACTTCAGAAAGCCAGAAAGGAGTGTTTTTTTCCTGTAACTGTCAATTTTGAGATTTTGGGCTTTTAGGGTTTTCATAAAGTGTTTTTTTTTCAGTCTTATGGAAAGAAAAGGTCTAAAATACACTTTCAAGAGTTCCTTTTGTCGCACTTTGTTGTGTCTGTAGACTACAATTACAATCCATAATAAAAGCTGTTGTCTCAGAATTTTCTCCTGATCTGAGTCATAAATCTGCACTTCAGCAGCACTTATGTTCAACAAATGTCACAGTTTTATTCTTATCTTTATTTTGAAGGTTTTCTCCAAGTTATTTGTTCACATAATATGCCTGATTATAGGCCATACACCATTTCACTTCAAAAAAGAAGTTCTGACTTTTGGTTTTGTCTCTCTGTTCACAGTATTTCCTGAATTATGGGCTGATAAATGTCCTCTGTAAAAGCATGAGTTTAATTCAATGCAATTTTGAATTAATTCAATGCAGTTGAATTATTAGCCCTCTTGTGTTTTTTCTTTTTCAAATATTTCCCAAATGATGTTTAACAGAGCAAGGAACCTTTCACAGTATTTCCTATAATATTTTTTTCTTCTGGAGAAAGTCTAATTTGTTTAATTTCAGCTAGAATAAAAATATACATTTTTAAAAATCAGTTTAAGGTGAATATCATTATCCCCCTTAAACAATATTTATTTTGATTGTCTACAGAACAAACCACTGTTTAATGATGACTTCCCTAAGTTATGCCTTTAAATGTCACTTTAAGCTGAATACTAGTATCTTGAAAAATATCTAGTAGAATATTATGAACTGTCATCATGGCAAAAATAAAAGAAATCAATTATTAGAAATTAGGGTCCCACTTTATATTAAGTGGCCTTAACTAATATGTACTTACACAGGAATTAATAATTTGTTACAATGTACTTATTGTGTAAATACATGTATTTACTGTGTACTTATGCTTGATTAAATACATATATGTAATTACATCTGTAATTAACTTTTGTAAATACATTTGTAAATACACTGTTGACCATCCCTTACACCTTAACCCACCCTTAAACCTACCCATACCACCAAACCTGTCCATAACCCAACCTCTATCCCAACTCAAAAGCACCACAAGTGTTCTCAAATACATTATAAACACAGTAAGTACATTGTATTTATTTTTTTGATGTAAGTACATAGTAGTTAAGGACACTTAATATAAAGTGGGACCGAAATTAGTTTTATATTTAGACTATTATATTTAGAAATGTGTTGAAAAAAAAAACGTCTTTCCGATAAATAGAAATTTGGGGGAAAAATATCTTAAACTGTAAATGAATAAATAAAAGCAAGAATATTTAGAAACTTTGTTAAACAAAACAACCCACTGTGCCCTAATTATCTAAATCAATCATTAATAGAAATTATAACTTTGATGACCCTAATAAAAAAGGAGGTAATTCATATGGAATGCTCTTCCAGTTAACAAGCACAGCAACATTAGAATACCTAAAATCCTTTTAGGAGGAAGATTTATATGTTGAAATCGCTAATGACTAGCCCAAACAGAATCTCTGGACACTTTTTTTTTTCTTTTTTTTTTTTGCTATTTCTGCTGAGAACTTTGTAAAAATCTGAAGATTATTGTGGAATAATTTTAGGAGTATCATAACTAATTTATGAAATAAAAAATAATAAATTTTTTACTTTTATTTAATGTTTTCAATGCAAATCCAATTAGATCCACTTATTTAGTAAACAAAGCAAGTCTCTCATATAATATATCTACTAAAAGACAAAAAATATGACTTTAAACTTTGTTTTGTAAATAAATCATTTAAACATTTTCTTATTACTATTATTATATCACATTGTGAAATTCATTTAAAATTAGAATAAATATAAATTTACAGACATATACACAAGTAAATACATAGACTCAATGATGGGTAAAAAATCTGCGGAAATCTGCAGATTTCTGTGTGGGTCTACTGATGAGCAATGGGAGATGCCCCTAAACAGATCCACAGGTCATCATCGGTTTGTGCAAGGCATGGCCGCATACAAATTAAAGTAATACAACATTTACATTGGTCCAAAAAACTTAGTATAATATTTCAAGAAGTGGACCCAGCATGTGGTCGGTGTGGGCTAGAGCTGGCATCACAGGCTCATATGTTTTGGAGCTGCCCAAAAATACCATCTTACTAGGAAAATGTTTTTTCTAAAAAAAAAAAAGCCAATAGATCCAGATCTCTTTACTGGAGTTAGGCATTCCTGATTTCAAGATAAAAACAGTACAGAACAAAATATAGTTCCATTTGTCAGTCTACTAGCACAAAGGTTAATATCATTAAACTGGAAACAGTAAGCTGTTCATATATACATCTAATGAGGGGTGTAATCAAACATTTGGAACTGAAAAAATTCAGATTCTCCCTAAAAAAGAAAGAGAAATTCTATAAAATTTGGCAACCATTCATGGATTATTTTTAAGACATACATTTTGCAGGAAATAATAAAATTGAAGAGTTATAGACTATTTTAGATTAAAACTGAAGGTCAGTATTTTGCTTGAATTTATTTTTTGTATGTATTTTATTTTATTATTATTATTATTATTGATCTTTTTGTATTTTTTATTATTGTGTTTATCTATTATTATTTCACTTCTGTATGTATTGTTTGCATATTGTATATATTATTGTCAATTGTTGTGTGAATGTTGCATCAAATTTGTAAGTCGTGTTTGAATGTTTGAAAAAACAATAAAGAAAGTATTATAAAAGCAAGAATATTTAATCGGGCTTTATCTGGCGTTTAAATTTTTATGTTAGAATTGTGTGTATATTAGTGCCTATTTAATTAAATAACACCCAATTTGCACATTTAAACATAACATTTTAGAAAAAGTGCAATTTAATATTTTTATTTTATTTTATTATTTTTTTAAATATTCTTCTTAATGTAATCAACTGGGGAAGTAAGCTGATAACTATCAGTTATTTTATACCCTATTCACCTTCAGTGTCTTGCCTTAATGAATCCGGCAGTGTTTGCAGCCAAAGCTCTAATTGCTAAAGACATGAAAGATCTGCTCTGTAAATCTCTTCTCTGTTCCACCCCAATAATCTCCATCAAGAAGTCCTTCATCAGATCTTGAGCTGCTTGAAATCACTCAGCACTATCGACCCGTGAAAGCCTTTATTCTTTAATGTTTCATTCTCCGTTTTATCTTTGCAGCTCTTTCTGCGCACTTCAGAGTGTGTGAGCCTTACTCCGACCACAAGGGGCGCTATCACTTCGGCTTCCACTGCCCGCGACTCTCTGATAACAAGACCTATATCTTCTGCTGTCATCATAACAACACAGCCTTCAAGTACTGCTGCAACGAGACTGAGTTTCAGAGCGTCATGCAGCTCAACCTCACAGCCAACTCAGACAGCTTCGCTCACAAGTGAGTCACTTCCATGAATACAATTAATACGTTTGTATTACTAATGTGCAGTTTGGGATTGTTGGGCACTGAATGAAAACAAATTCTAAAATACATTTAATATTTAGCATGGCGTGTTAATAATATTGTTAAAATAAGTTTTGAAGAAGTGGTGTAAGTGAAACCAGCAGGGGGTGCTCAAACTGCGATCTGTGTGGGTCCTAATGCCCCAGTATATTGATGGGGACTCTATACTGCTCAGTGAGCACCATTTTTTTGTATGAGACACTAAACCGAGGATATCCCAGGATATCCTTCAAAAAATAGTAGGAGTTTAAGAGCGGTACCCTGGCCTAATTTGCCCACTGGCCTCTGTCCATGGCCTCCTAACCATCTCCATATCATAATTGGCTTCATCACTGTGTCTCCTTTTCACCAATAAGCTGGTGTGTGGTGTGCGGTCTGATTCCCCCCCAAAATGTGTAAAGCGGTGTGAGTGTCCAGAAAAGCGCTATATAAAGGTAAAGAATTATTATTATTATTGTTTTTGATAAGGCAAAAACAAATAAAATCAATCAATCAATCAATAAATAATGTTCTTTTTTCAATAATTATTCTATCATGTAAGAAACATTTTTGAAATAAATACTTTTAGTCAGAATAAAGCTGTGATAAAATAAAATAAAAATACAATTAAAATAAATTTAAAAATAAAAAAAATAAAAATAATAATAATAATAAAATTAAATTTAATTAAAATAAATATTTTGCATAAAGAGTTAACAAAATAAATATTGATTGAAAAAATAGGTTTGGTTCTAAGAAAGGCTTGGTTAGAAATAGCAAACATTAAATAAATAAAAATAAATAAATAAATTAATTAATTAATTAATTAATTAATAAATACTTAAAAACTAAAAACTTATTGTATTGAAAAAAGTATTGATTAGAAAAGGCAAACATAAAACAAAGCTAATCAATAAATTGTTAATGTTTATTTTCTGTGAATATTGAATCTATTTCGTAAGAAACATTTTATTTTATTTAATTTAATTAGTTTTGATCATAATAACTAAAAATCATAAAATATTTTAAAAGAAATTTAATTTAATTTAATCTGTCCATCAATATAGTTTAATATTATTTTATTCACAATTTTCTTTTGTCAAATTATAACAATGAAATATTGATAACAAACAAACTTTCTATTAATGAATGCAGCAGCAAAAATATTACACTGATATAAATAAAGCCAACTTATAGATCTGCATAATCTATTTTCTTTGACATGCAAACCATACCAATTTGCAATTGAATGTCTTCCTTTTCTCAAATTTGACAAACACTATCTGATGCTGAGATTCCCTTTCTCTTATTATTTTAATCATTGCATAATATAAGCTCAAGAATGGAAGTATCCTCTCAGCACATGCCTCCTAAAGCAGTTACTCCCCCATACATATTCACCCATAGCTTCTCCATCCATATAAAGCCTCTGACAGACTCCAGCTTCTCTGACAAGGTTTCGACCTGTTCGCTGTGATGTTCAAGCTCTGCCAGGGCTGTAATGACCACAGAAGGCTCCATTTGCCCACAGGCTCTTCAAGTAGTGCAGTCTGCGAAATGATCCAGCGTCTCTAAAGCAGAGAGCAGGAGATCAGCAGATCAGCAGACTTGATGCCTGCCGTTTGAATATTAGCAGGGCTTGTTTATGCCTGAAGCCCACAGAGAAAATATCTGACAATCAGATGGACTCGCTCATTTGACCAAAGTGTGCTTTTGTCTGCCATTCTCACACACACATGGAAAAATCACAGATCCCAGAACTCAGACACAAAAGCAAATGCAGATATCTTTAATGCATTCCGCATTAAATCAGTCTTTTTTATCTTAAAGACCTCAAAGTAAAGTCTAATATTACCTTTAAAAAATAAAACTCTGTGAGAATACACTGCTGCATTTAAATTACTTATTAAAAAGAGTGAAAACAACACAGTTCTTGATTGTGTTGGGGGGGAGGGGGAGTTGCAACTTAATTGTTTGATGTTCAATCCACTTAAAATTGTAAAAACCATTAAGTTAACTTAATCAATTGGCGTTAGAAAAACATGAAGAGATTGTGTGGAACAAATATTTTTTGCAGTGTATGAACTTTTACCCCTGGCAAATTCTGACTGTTCAAAAGTAAATAAAAGCAGAGACATTTTTTTTATTCTACAAAAATTTATTAAATTCTTTTGGGAGTATAGGCTGTCTCATTGCCAGTAAAAACGAATCAAAAACTTACTGGTTAAATAAAATTGACTGTATATTGTAAGTTCCCTACTGTAAATATACCAAAACTCTATTATTCATTAGTAATGTGCATAAGCACTTCGCTTCAGTAATTAGATTTTAATGAACCCTCGGATTCCAGATAATCTCAACCAAATATTGTTCAATTCCTAACAAAGTTTATTTCCTGAGCATTCATATCATGTATAAACCTCAATTTACACTTATGACTGGTTTTGTGTTCCAGGGTCACATAATTTAAACGTATAGCATGAAGAAAAAACATATATCAATGTGAAATCTTGAAAAAAATAAGATGTCTGATAGGCTTCATCAGCAGTTTCTCTCCTAATCCTTTCTCAAATGCTCAAGCACCCAGATCAAACTGTCTGTGCAGATGATGAAAGAATCGCTCTGACATTAAAACACCACAACAAAAAAAGACTTCGACATCTTACCCTGAAAAAGCATCTCATCTAGAGACTTTAACAGCACTGATGAGCCAAAAGAAATCAATTAATCTTCAGCCTCACAACGGGACATAAACAATGAAGGTCAGCTTGTCACCCTGTCCTGGCTCTGGTCAAGCATGAAGAGATTATACCAGCGCTCTGTGTGTGACTGTAACTTTGACCGTTTCACACACTGTCCTGCCAAAGCAATCACTAAAACCAGAGGAAAGCAATTACAGCACTTTACTGACACTGCATGAGCTCTGACCTCACTACTCAATGAAAAAAAGACTGATTTAAATGGAGGAAATCAGGTCCATTCTCCTTTGTAGTGGTGTGATTTCTACAGTTTTTCGATCAGAATGAACCCTATTTCTTGTTTCATAAAGCGGTTAAAACTTGTGATTAATAATTATATTTCTGAAATAGATTTGTTGTCTCAGTCTCTTACTGTATTTCTCAAGGCAAAATCATAGTAAAAATGGTAATTTTTTTATCACATACAACAAAACTACTTTTTTTTGTTTAACACGTTTAAAAAAAGTGCTGTTGTTTTACATTTAGAAACTTTTAACATGTATTCATGAAAACAGATAAGATTATATTAAAATGAACAAAGATTTAATGTGTATTTAAGTACTACTGATGTTGCTTTAATTTTATTTTATAGTTTAATTTTAATTAAATTTTATTTTAATTTAATGAAATTTAAATATAATTTTTATGTGATTTTAATTGAATTTTATTTTAAATTATTTTATTTTATTTTCTTTAATGTAATTTTATTTTATTTTATGTAATTTAACTTAATTTTATTTTATGTAATTTTATATTTTATGTAATTATTTTTTATTTTGTGTCATTTAATTTAATTAAATTTTATGTAATTTTATTTAATTTTAAATTATTTAATTGCATTTTATTTTATGTAATTGTATTTTATTTATGTAATTTTATTTTATTTATGCAATTTAATTATTTAATTGCATTTTATTTTATATTAATGTAATTTTATTTTATTTTGTGAAATTTTACCATATTTTATAGAATTTTACGTAATTGAATGTAATTTTTAAACTATTTTATTTCATTATATTTGATGTAATCCTATTTTATTTTGTGTAATTTAATAATTTAATTTAATGTTGCTGAAATCTAATCTAATCTAGCAATTCTAATAAGTGAATCAATTCTAATAAGAAACATTTTTTGAAAATGTGATTATTCCAAACATTTGCAACAACCAATCCCTATTTTTGTCTCTTCAGTAACTACACAGCCCTGATCGGTGTATGGATTTATGGGTTTTTTGTGATGGTTCTTCTGGCGCTGGACTTCCTCTACTACTCAGCCATGAACTACGAGTTGTGCCGTGTTTATCTAGAGAAATGGGGTCTGGGTGGACGCTGGCTCAAACAGGCAAGAAGTCAATGGCACAGCACAGTTCAGGAGGGAGAACTCAACACAGGACCAGGCCTGAGCCAACAACAACAACAACAACAACAGCTTCATCTTCACCATCATCATCACCATCATCATCCACGACATAGCCTGAGAGGAGACACACAGAGTCCAACGCTCCTCTCCTTTCAGACCTCCACAGCCTGGTGAGTAAAGCTGAGATTATATCGCAGAATCACATATTTCTGCAGAGGTTTCTGCTGCTGCTGCTTGTTGGTGGATTGTGTCACATATGATGTGTTTAAATCCAGATTTTTCTAAGACAATCCCTCCCCTACTTCACTTAATAATTAGCCTAAGAATAAATAACCATCAAAAGAGTGTAGGTCTGATATAACTTTAACAAAATCCAAAAAAATATAAATAACTATTTAAAAATAATTATATAATACATTAATACTAGGCAGGTCAGAGTAATTAGGCAAGTTATTGTATAAAAATAGTTTGTTCTGTAGACAGTCAAAAAAAAAAAGATAGCTTAAAGGGGCTAATAATTTTGCCCCTAAAATGATTCACAATAAATTTAAAACTGCTTTTATTTTAGCCGAAATACAACAAACAAGACTTTCTCCAGAAGAAAAAATATTATCAGACATACTGTGAAAATTTCCATGCTCTGTTAAACATCATTTGGGAAATATAAAAAAAAGAAAGAAAATTCAAAGGGGGGCTAATAATTCTGACTTAAACTGTATATGATGAGAGATTAGGTATAAAAAGAAATGTGTACAAAAACTATATAAAATATCATATAATAATGACATATATATTAACAAATGCATTTATCAGTATTATTATAGTAATTAGTGAATATAGTATTACTGTTAAAAAAAGAATCCAAATAACAGTCTTAAACCTGACAACATGAAAAATGAACTAAATTGCAATATATTCAAATATGTATATATTATTTTGTCATTTATAATTAAGCTTTTGTTTTTCATTAAGGATCACAAAAAGCTAAGGCTGATGAAAAAACTGGATATGTATGTTATTGTATGTATTTTCTTAAAATGAGATTATGAAAAAAATCAGGAATTAACAATTACCAGAATCACTACATCTTTTAAATTAATCTTTCACAGTCGAATTCACAGTGGAATAAACCGCCACAGCGGACTGAACCACCACAGCGGAATGAACCGCCAAATATTCTGGCATATGTTGTACGCAGCAGAGGGCCCCTCAGCTGCAACCCAGTACTAGGAAACACCCATACACTCTCGCATTCACACATGCACTCATACACTACTGCCAATTTTGATTACCCAATTCACTTATAGCGCATTTCTTTGGACTTGTGGTGTAAACCAGAGCACCCGGAGGAAATTCACATGAACGGGGAGAACATGCAAACTGGCCCAGCTGGGACTCGAACTAACAACAACTGTATATATATATTTATATATATATATATATATATATATATATATATATAAATATATATATATATATGTTTTACTAGATAATGTAATAATAACTTATTTTATTTTAAAATGAATCACACAGGGCTTGATTCAACCAAACAAATGAGTGTGATGGCGGCTTTCAGTGTGCTACAGGAAATAAAAACTGCACCTCATTCCAGTAACCTGACGTCACTTTTGCATTTACACAGTGTGAGACAAAATATTTGTTGTTAGCTATATGTGATCTCCGCACTTCACATACAGGGCAACTGTGCAGCAGACGCCTGAACATCTGGCAGAAACACACTTCACACTGAGCGCTGCTGATTTTCACATCTGACGTACAGAACAACTCGCATAAGACACTGAATTCAGCAGCTGATCGTGCAGGGCTAATAAAGAAAAGGTGGAAAGCTGACCTTTTAAAGTGTGCAGATTCTTGGCTCCCACATAGAAACTGCTCCCATGGCACTGAAAAGCTTCAGATGAGAATGAAAGGATCTTCAAGCAGCTGCAGATGTTGCCCACATCAGTCTCTCATGGTTAATCTGGCACTCGCTCTGCCATCTGTTGCATCTGTCGCTCACATGACCTTGACATGATCAATCCATTCACACCCCTGCGAAAAATAGAAATAAAAGCAGTGTACATTTGTAATCCTTTTTATTTTATTTGACAAAATTAAAAATCTCGAATGAAAATAGTATGAAATGATAAACACTGGCAAATTAGTTTAGAAATAATTAGAACTTTTAGAGGCATTACAGTATGTTTGTAATATTTCAACATATTTTAAAATGCTATGAGACTTTTAATCAGGCTTTTGAGTCAAATAATTTGGTAGCACTTTAAAATAATGGTCCATTAGTTCATAGATTTACTGACATTAACTAAATATGAATAATCTTGTAAAATATTTATTAATCATAATTCAACATGTACTAATGCATTATTAAAATCCAAAGCTGTGCTTGTTAACATTAGTTAATGCACTGTGAGCTAAGAACTAACATGAACTAATGCTATTTAACTTAAGTGACATTAACAGTAATGAAGATGAATAAATACAGTAATAATTGTATTACTAATGAATTGTTCATGGTAATAAATGCATTAACTAACATCACCAAATGGACCTTTATTTGAAATAATAATAATTACCAATAATGCTTCCTACATTAAATAGAATATGGTGCTTTGGTGCACATGCAGCATTTCAAATAATAAGCAACGTTACAAAACGTGGGTTATTTTGAATTCTTTAACTCCTTTATTGCCAATGTGTCCCACTGCAAGTTCACTTTACTGTTATTGCAATTAAATGCTAATCTAGTCATGAAGTAAATATTATTTGGAAGCTTCTTTTGAAATTTCTACTTTAATTATTTTATTTTTGATAAATATTATTGAGCAACTGTTATTCATTTGTTTGTTGTAAATCATTAATTTGCTACAGCAATTCACATGTAAAAATCACAAAATTTCCATTCTATTGATATCTTATTTATTTTAAATGGTTATGATGATCATGTTTTAAATTTTATGAGAAAATTATGGTTTGTGATACACATGCTTTTTTTATTTTATTTTTTTTTTTGGTCTTTTTTTTTGTTTGTTTGTCTGTTTTTGGTCTTTTTAGAGGTTAAATTTAAATTTAAAAACCCGCAAACTGACAATACTTCAGCCAATATGCTCTACAATATCTGCAAATATTAGAAAAAATTATTATGTAAAAATTATGAAAAGCAGTGTCTTAATGCTCAAACTAGGGCTGTGCGATTAATCAAAATCGAATTGCCATCAATATTTTAACCGTTGCGATTAGCTAATCGCAAGAGGTTGCGATGTGAAATATATATGTATAATTTATTTTCCCCCGCCCAGAGCAAATGCGTGACTGTCATCTGTGTGTGATAATCTTACTAGCCAATCGAGTGAGCACACTTTCGTTCTGCCCAATCAGAATTGTGCAACCGAGCTATGCAGAACGCTATGAAGAATTGCTGCCACAGCTAACAGATTATTGAGCTGAAGCTTGGCAAAATTAAATCGCAAATTACATCATAAATCACAATATCTGTCCAACAAAAAAAATCTCAAACCATACTTGGAAAAAGTGTATGTATATATATCACAAGCAAATTTCATTAATGAAAACTGCATGTAATTTGGTGGTGGTGTTTGGTACCGCGCACAAAAAAATTTGAACATTTCATTTGGAATATAATTTGCTCGTATATTTTATATTTGCTTGATTTTCTGTCACTTTCATGGTAAAAGAGCTTTTTCAAAATACATATTTTATATATTATAATTTTTTTGACGTCAGCTAAAATCTGCCAAGTGTCTTCTTTAAAATAAGACTAACCTTAAATCTGTGTTTTCATGTTTATGCTCAAAAAGTGGGGCCAACAGTTAGAGAGTTAAACTAAAACTAACACCAAAAATAATAGCATTTACTTAAAAAAGAAACCTTTTATCTAACATATAATTGTCTTTAGTGAGACTGCTGATCGATTTAATGCATCCTCGCTGAATAAAGTATTCATTTCTTAGTTTGTATTTCACACAGTGACATCACCCATTGATGTCTTCCTCGGCTTCCACCCAAAATGTAACCCAAATCACACTGTGTACAATCTGACAGAATAGCCAAAAAAAATGACAGTGTACGCTCAAATTTGTAGTCCTTTTTGAAGCTGCTTTTTTTTTTAGCTAGTCATTTTAAAATGCAACCTGAACTTCGAGACGAGCCAATGAGCTTTCTATTTGTTCATTTTCTGCCTCCCCTTCTACACCTGTCCCGCCGTCATACGTCTGGAGGCAGGCGAGCGAAATCTAGCATGAAATATGATGATAATGATGATGATGCGTCTCTCACTTTGAAGATGCAGGAGAAACAGAGCTGGTGCTGCTCACAGATAACACACGCGAGCAAGAAGTTCATCTGCTTTCTGACTCCAGAAGAATTCTGAAGGATAAGGTTAATTAAGGCACAAATTCTGTTTCTTCATGCACCTGTCATTTTTGAGATTTGGGGATTTTCAGCTGTTCTTTTTAGTATGATGTCAATAAAAAAAATCCAACGTACACATTTAAGTGTTTCTCTTGTTGCACTTTATCAATTTATGCCTGTCGTCTTCAACTACAGTACAATTTTTTAAAGCCATTTTCTCAAAATGAGTTTTTCTTTTCCTCCGGAGTCATAAATCTCAGCTTCGGCAGCACTTACAGAAACCAAACTTCACATCTAAAATGTGAAGGTTCAGCAGGGTTTCATGCACCTGTCAATTTAGAGATTTTAGGCTTTTTCTTAAGTGTTTATTCAAACTAAAAAACACCATCAGAAATACACGTAAGTAGCATTTTATCTATTTGTCTGCAGATTTCAAATACAACACATATTTTGAAATGCTTTTTTTCTTCTGCATTGAGTCATAAATCTCATTTCAGCACCATTACATTCAACAAACTTTACAGTTGTATTTATACAGATACATTCTGAAGGTTTATATCTATATAAAATTGCCAAAGCATTTAAAATATGTCATATATTAACATTAAATTAATATTTTATTCTACAAAAAAAATTAAAACACCCCTGGGAGTTCACAGGATTTTAAAAGAGAATCTCAAATCCACTCTGTCTAATATATTAAATGAAATAATTTGTTTAATTTGTATTCATTTGGGTGAATTAAAACTCCACATCATAGATCAGAGGTGTCCAAACTCGG